GCCTTTTGGATTATGGAGGGTCAGATGCTTTAGCCTCAGCTAGCCTCTTGTTGGCCGAGGGAGTACTCTTTTCAACCTCGGCCAATTTAGGGATTAGAACAGTGTCCTCAGAGTCGATCTGAGTCACTGTTGCCTTAGCTTTGGCTTTCTTCACCCTCTTTGGCTTGGACTTGGGTTGGGATTGAGAGGGGGACGATTGAACTGTTACGATCCTAGGCAGGTTAGCCAAAAGGTCTTCAACGACAGCCTTGTTACGGCCCATCTCTTCGGCAGTAGCGACTACAGTGACTTTGGTATCGAAGCGAATCGTTGGAAGTGCAGTAGGTGGATTTGCTGGATCGTAAGCCGATGCCTCAGTGCTTTGGTGTTTGCGTCTACAAGTTCTGCCTGCAGGAGCAAAGAGCGAAGCTCAGCGTTAGTGTTGGCGTTGGCGTTGAGCTGGAGGAATTAGTTGAAGAGCAGACGTTGATGCAACCTCGGCTAGATCAGAAGATAAGGCTTGATCAGGCCTTGGTGAGGAAGCAACTATTAGAGTTGTAGCAGAGGGAGGAGTCCTGCTCCTCTTAGAAACGTCGGACAATATGGATTTGTAGGTTGGAATGTAGTTGAGCAGCAAAGGGGCCTTGCGCTGATCAATCGGCAAACCCAACAGCCTTCTTAAGTCCTTGTTGGGAAATAAAGACTGGCGAAAATCTTTTGAGGGTTGGGGGAGAGTTGTAAGAATGAAAATCATACATTAGAACATATAGAAGGAATAGAGTGTTAAGTCTTAAACAGAAAAATTGACACTTGGTTCTTACCCTCATCATCTTTAAACACCGATCGACGCAGAGGATAGAGATAAAGGTCTTCGTCAGGAACAAATTCCCAGTTGCCAGAGACGATGAAGTAATATCTCCAGCACCTTTGTTGGAGTCTGGGAGGTCGGTTATGAGTTTATAGACTGTGGATCTCGACTTCAGGTAATAAATGTAGCCTTTTTCAGATTTCAGGCCACACATGGTGCAGCAATATTGGATGTCGGCTAGTGTTATCCTAACATTTTCTTGGCTAGCTAAAGCAATTATATCGTTGATAACCCTATACGAGTTAATGGCCAGTTGTATGTGATCTCTGTCAAAACCCAAAGCCTAAATTTATATGGAAATAGAGAATCAATGGCAAGAATCTGAAAACAAGACAAAGAGAAACAGAAAAGAAAACATGATTCAGACTCAAGAAATTCAAGAATACTGAGTGAGTGTGTGCAGATGTGCAAAAACTCAAAACAATGGTAAAGTTCCTAAAGTCTCAAGTGTATGAACAGTTCGTATGTACAAACCCAACAACAAATTGAAAAAGAACTAAGTCGCAAACAGGCACGTTTGGCACCCAAATGATAAAATTCAAAACACAAGCAAAGATTCAAGAATGTGAATAGATTCACAATGGCAGCAAACAAAATATAAGCATGCGACAGAGTTTGAAATAAACCAAAGACTGAAAAAGGGGAAAATAATGGCTTACCAAAGAAGAATGACGCCGAATGAATATCGCCGAAGTCAGATGACGAGAGTGGTCGCAAACGAACGATGAAAAGTTCGCCGGAGGAGGTGATTGAAGTGGTTGCAGAAAGCTTGAAGAAACAGCAATGGAGGATGGGGATTTGTTAGAAAAAGAAAAACTTAAACGCAAAGGGAAAGGGAAAGCAAGAATGTAAAGTAAAGAGACGGAGAGAGAGTGAGATGTTTTGTTAAAACACGAAAAGACAGCAAAACCACAATGAATGTGCCTTGGACGACGTGTCTATCAGGCGGCGCGCGCAGAAGCGACGCGACCTAATAGCGCGTGTCAGGTACGAATTAATGAGAAAAGGATGTGTGGCGGAAACGGTTGATAAAACCGTGTGTGACAGCTTATGCGCAGATAAAACTCTTGGAGTTCTTGATTTAATGGAGCGAGAACCTTGGCTAGAGGAATGGTTCTGGTTAAGGAACTTGAAGAACTTGGTTCTTGGCCATTGATAAAGTGGACTGCAGAGTCTTGGTTATGTCAAGCCGACGTATGATGATCTTGGTCATGAAGGATGGAGTAGGTCTTAGCCAGCGTGCTATATGGACAAACAGTATAGGTTTCATCACCTCAGGATGTCGAGGTAATAGAACCTAAGGGGCAGTTGTGGGGACATTTTTTGTGAATGACAACACGTGGCCAAGTTGGCACTGGAGTGTCAGCCGAGGTGCCACGTGTCTTGGTCATATGCCTGAGGTGATCTCGGATAAGCCGAGGTTATCTGCAGAGATACCAGAATCTGAGACGAATGGATAAAGGACAAGAGTCCTAAAATAGGGGAGGACCTCAGTCTAGATAAAGATAAAGCTCTTAAGGAGTTTATCTCTATCTAGCTGGGAGTCCAAGGTGAGCATTGAGCCGGAGTCCATTGAAGTTAGGCTTCTACAGGGATCAAGTTAGTGTTGGCTATAAAAGTAAGGCACCCTTGTGGGTTTAAGGTACGTTTTTTGTATTCTAACTAGTGAGTTAAGCACTATTTACTATCTTTGAGAGATAACTGAGTACTGACTTGATCGTCGGAGTACCCCGGGTGGACGAACCACCGTCGGAGTCTTTTCTTTCTGTGACAGGTTGTTTGGGCATAATCTGTTCTGCTTGTGCTCTCCAGCTAGGTATCTGTTTGGCAGTGTGGTCGGAAATCAATACCCACAATTTGTCATTATTTTTTAGTTGAACAAATAGGTGTGAGAAAGAGTGATTAATTTATGTATATGATATGAGAGAAGAAGAGATAAGATATAAAAAGTGATTGAAAACAATTTTGAAAAAATTGTAAAACATGGTTACATTTTCCAATCAAATTTTGATTTGAAAAACCTACAAAAAAAACTTGTTTGGTTTACAATTTTTGAAAAAATCATTTTCAAAATTTATCTCATTTTCTCCAACATCTTACGCATCAACCAATTGATTTTTCATTCCTCCATTTTGCTCTCACATCCTACATGTCAATAAATCATTTTTTCTCTCACATCTATTTATTCAATTAATAAATAAATAAATACAAAACATCTCAAAACTATTTTCAAAATATACAACAAAATTAGGCCAAGTTTGGGAAGACTAAATAAGTGCACTTTTTGTCTTTTTAGACTAAAAAGTTGAGGTTGAAAATATGAATGTTTGGGTTAACTTTTTGACTTTTTATGGAAAAATGTGTAATAAAAAATTGTAAAAATTAGTTTGTAGGAGAAAATTAGAATTGGGAATTGTGCAGCCGTAATTGTTGACTTTTGCTGAATAGTGATGACTTTTTAACTTTTTGAGTAACTTTTTGACTTTTTGACTTTTTTTAAACTACCCAAACTTGGCCTAAGTTTTTAAAATTTGCAAACTCTTTTAAAAAATTATATTTCAAGATTGGTTCTCAAAACTAAACCAAACGGGATTAAATTTTGAATTTTGACCTCTTAAAACTAATTTAGAAATCCAAACCAAACGAAGCCCATAACTTTGGCCTCATTTGGGAATTTGACTATTTTAATAGGTTGTTTTAATTTTTGGCTATTTTAGTAGGTTAAAATTTTTGTGTTTTTGAAGATAATTGAATTTTTTTATAATTAAATATGATATTTGTGAGAGAAAAATCGTAATGATTATAAATTTGATGTAACATTTAATCTTGCTGTTTTATATTTTTGTGAATTTTACTAAAAAAAATAACCCAAAGCCCACTTGCTAAACAGGGCCTTTGTTTATCTCAAACTATGTTCTTGCACATTCTTGTGGGCAACTCATTGGTAGGGTCCCCCATCTATTGGGCATCTCTAACCACAAGCTGATGGGACCATTCTCATTGGGTCTAGCCCAACCGGGTCAAATTCACTTAAGGCCTAGGCTGAGATAACCATTGTATATGAACCTAGCCCAACTAAGTAGTTATTTTGAATGTGCTATATAAGTGTATTTTTTAATTTTTTGATTAAAAAAATAGAGAAAAAAATATGTGTTTGGGATAATTTTTTAAATTTTTATGAAAAGACGTGTAATAAAATATTATAATAAAATCAAAATGACAATTTTACCCTTTTGACTTTTTGACTTTTTAAATAGTTGAATTCAAAGGGTAAAATAATAATTTTACCCTAGTAGCTTGCCTTAGTGGCTTCCCTACAAGCTACCCTTGAATAATATAGATTTTTAACTTTTTTTAGTAATTTTTTAACTTTTTAACTTTTTTAATTTATCTCAAACAAAGCTGTCAATTGTGACCACATTATTATTTTTGTACATAAAACTTTATTATAAATTGAATAATTAACAAGAAAGTAAATATAATGAAAAATCTTAATCAACATGTTGTATAGGATGTGGTGTTTTGAAAAGTTAATAAAAAATTAATTTTTTGACTTTTTAACTTTTTTAGTAAAAAAATAGATTTTTGAATAAAAAAATTGACTTTTTTAACTAAAAAACATTAAAAAGTCAAAAAAAATTAACTTTTTTAGCAAATTCTCAAAGTGCCCCATGTTGACAAAATTGGAAGAAACCCAAGTGTTTTTTTTATCAAATTTTATTTTAAAAATAGTAGCTAATTTATTTGTTTTTACATAGGTACATTTGATGGAATGGATTCCACACTGACCTATGTTACTGTACCTCAATAAATCAAAAATTCAAAATTTAAATTGATAGACAGGGCAACCTTTTTATGTAACCTTTAAAAAAAAATCATAATAATTAATAAGTTAAAATATTACAATAAATTTATAATTAATTTACTTTATATTACAATAAATTTATAATTAATTTACTTTTTCACTTTTTCTTATTTAATTATAATAATTAATAAGTTAAAATATTACAATAAATTTATAATTAATTTACTTTTTCTTATTTAATTATAAAAAAATCAATTCACCATTTTAAACATAAAATTTTCAATCTATTAAAATAATCAAAAATTAAAATATCCTACTAAAATAACATATTCTCCGACAGCCAAAGCTCAATAGGCAGGGTTTCCCTCTCCTTTTGCACCTCTCGCTTCTGCGGAGATAGAGATAGAGAGAGAAACACTACTCTCTCTCATCCAAAAACCAGGATCCCAAATCTTATCCCCCTCTCCCTCTCTCTCTCTTCTTCTTCTTCTTCCTCCCAAAAATCTCTCAAAATTTTAATTGCAGTCGATCGGTTCTGAGTTATGCAGGCAGATCAAACGGTGATAAGCTTGAGACCAGGTGGCGGTGCTGGTACCCGAGGCAGCAGGTTCGCGCTCGGACTCAGTTTCACTTCTTCTGCATCCTCTGATTCCCTCCCTCTGCGCTCTCATGGCGGTTTCAAGGTCCCGAACCAAAACCCTATGCTTTCCCCCTTTTTTCTAGATCATTGGGGTTTTCAAAATTCAATTTTTTTGTTTTTGTGGGTTCAATTCCATATGGGTTTTTCACTGTCTTCTGTTTTGAATTATTTCAAAAAAATTTATATTGAAATGTAATTAACACGGATTTTTAATCTTTCATAATTTTTGTTGATTTTTTTGGGAAATGCTAGAGACAGTGGCCTAGGTTAAGGCTGGAAATTCTGTACAATGTATAAAAACATACAAAAGTGTATAAAAAATATGCAAAAAGTATTAAAAATTGTTACTTTAGTTGGCATTTGATTTTCTAGGTTGTAATCCATGTTGAATTTCACATGCTAATGCAAATTATGTATCTGGTTTTTATTTTTATGTACATCTATGTCTTTCTGTATGTATTTGAAACTTTGGTTGCATGTTTTTTATTTTCTTTTTATGGCTTATTTATTCAATTAGATTGGCTGTGGATAGTTAGGGTAGCTAGATATCTATAAAATTATATGTAAAATTGCAAACTTGAACATTGAATTGATGCACGAAGGCTTCTTTTGATTTTCTCTGTCTAGTAATTTTAATTGGGGACTTTATGGATGCAAAATTGAGCATTATTATTTTTCTGTTTTGCAAAAATTGGACATAAAAAGAGATAACTTTAAGAGAGACTGCATTTGGTGTTTGATTTATTTTTTTGTTGTGTGAAATGTAACAAATTAACCAAAACAAGTAGCTACACAAATCAAACTGGGAAATAAGTTTATATGGATGGGGGGAAAATAACATGAATTGCTGCAAAATAGGCCCTTAGGTGTGTGGCTTTAAAGGGTAATTTCTCTCTCTCTCTCTCTCTCTCTATATATATATATATATATATTTATATATCTTGTTTCCAGGGTTACATTTAGAACACTTCCATGCATGTTTTGACTCCACCACACTTAATTAGATTTTGTCCGCCCTTGCATGCGTGCATGTATACAAATTGTATGAGAATTGAGATTGTCCTAATTCTTGGTGGGTCACTTAAAATATGTGCACTTGCTGTAAATATGGACAGAAACCAATATGTGGGCTTTAGGTGGGTATCTAGTGAGCATGGGATGCCCATAAAGAACCTACATACATTTAAAGTTTTGAATATTATTAGAAGGAGCTTTTAGAATAGGGATTTTTTTCCCTGTAGTGAAATGATAGAGAAACGGTTCATTGAGTCTGAAAATTTGGATGCATTCATGGGGTCACTTTCATGTAGTATGATTTTATTTAGATGTGTTTGTTGCCCCCATTAAGGTGGCTTTTTTGGTTAACAAATTTATTTATCAAAAAAATAGAAAAGTTAAAAGCCATATTTATATATACCAATACAACACAATGAAATCCATTAATGTTACAATGAATTACTTGGTGAATATACTGATCACTTGCTGAATATGCCGATTTATTGAAACTTTATTTTTATCATAAGGACAACAGTCATTTATTGCTAGAAAAAGTTGATAATAACAATGTTACTTTTAGAGGAGTACTCAAAATGTAGATAAATAAATAAAAGGAATAGTGTAGCTGAATATGGAAAGTGAACGACCTACTTTGGCTATGAGATCAGAGTCACCAAGTAAGTTATAAGTACTGTACCTTTTAATTTCTATATACTTACTGAATTGTTGCGTATCTGACGATTGCAACATGATACCGTTTGAGATTCAGAGCAAGGTTGTTAAAATCGGGATCCTAAGTAGGATCGGTGAGAGGGTTTGGTGGATCGGATCATAGGATCGGATCGAGGATCGTAAGATCCTACTTTCTTTAAAAAAAAAGGATAAAAATTAAAATTAAAATGATACATATTAAAAATAAGGTGAAAAAGTATAAAATCTACGATCCTTCTTGCGATCCTACCTACGATCCTACATGATCCCATGCGATCCTACACGATCCTACTTGCGATCCTGTTATAACATCGATCCTACAACGATCTGATCCTACGATCCGGATCGTGATTTTAACAACCATGATTCAGAGATAATAAGATATCAACACACAACATGTATCATGTTTATACAACTATGCCTCTAAGTTGTCATTGTTGATTTGAAGAAATTTTGAAGCGCTACCCTCAATATTTGCTTGTTAAGAATTTGAAAGCATTGGTTGAGGATAATTATAAATTAAGCTACTGCAACTTAACAAAAATTATATATCAATCCACTACTAAACCTAATCTTTTAATTTGATTAAAAGCGATTTATTGCTAATATAATGGAATCATTTGTTGAATACGCAAAACACTTGCAGATCTTGAAAATTGTTATGAAGGGGGGCCCAGCACCTATATGCATGTAATTCTGAATTAGCTATAAAATGACTTTTATCTTTTAGTGAAATTGTGATAATAAATGAAATATTTTAGAAAATCAATTAAATTTTAAAAGGTCTCTTTATTAAAAATTATATACTGTAAAATCTCTAACTGTTTCATTAAAACAAGTTTATAAACATAAAAGAATCATAGAAGCATGTACCAATCATAATAAACATCTACTTTATAGGATTAACCAATATATGGGTATTTATTGGTGCACTTAACCAATATATAATACCCGTATTACCCATATATGAATTAACCAATATATAATACCCGTATTACCATATATGAATTAACCAATATATATGTAATACACATATATTCAACTCAACAAAGCCTTTGTCCCGATTACTTGGCATTAGTTACATGGATTTTCTTCCTTCCATGTCACCTTGTTCCTTTTTTATTGCTATATAACATAAATACATATACTTCAATTGTTTTACTTGATCAATCAAATAAAATAAGTTTTATATATTTTGTGGGTTTAAAAAAGAAAAGAAAAGAAAAATATATCTATTTGAAATTGGATGGATTTCATTTGGATTTGGAGAAATTGTTTTATATTTTAGTCCCTCCGTCCTATTTTGTTAGTCCTTTTCATTTGGGATGTCCCAAAATGTTAGTCCTTTTTGAAAAGTCAAAGGAAAAAGTGTTAGTTTTCCAAAACTATCCCTCATAAAGTGGCCATAACTATTTTAAAAGCTGAAAACAAAAGGGCATTCCTAGAATAAATGCTTTAAAATTTGAATTCAAATGTAATAATTACGTGTCTCCTAAAAAATTAGAATTTCCAAAAGGGACTAACAAAATGGGGCGGAGGGAGTATGAGAAAAAGTGAGTTCCAAAATGTTAGGGTAGGGTGGGGGCATGGTCACCCCCATCTAAGTATGCTTTTTGATGGCAAAGGATCAAAACTTGCTTTCTATCATAAAGACATTTTTTCTTGAATTTGAATCTCTTCCTCTTTCTTCCCATTCTTGTGTTTTAAGAACTGAGCCCTAGGCCCCCAAATGCAACTTTCTTGGTATATAAAAGTTGAAAATATTAATGTAACATTTTAGAGTAGTACAAAAAAGAATCATAGAGGACAGGCGAATATGGCAAGTGAATTACTTACTTGGTTACATGATCAAAATTAATAACTGCATTAATCTCTCCTACCTTTTTTACCATGCAGTTTTTGTTTCAATTTGAAGATATAAGATATTGATTTACAACCTTGATCCTAATCTCGCAAATCTGCTTCTGGGATGTCTTCACAGATTTGGCATGCTAGCTTCAGTCAGTATTTCCTTGTTAAGCAGTTTTTCATTCTTTGTTTGCTTCTTTGACTTTCTAGTATTTTGTTACAAGTTCTACATTGTTCAAAGTTGTTTTTGTTCACGTGTTTTGTGTAGATTATGGATATTTTTGCTGTTTAAATAGTGGAAATTAAGTTATTATCCTTCGGTGTAGGCTTATGGGCTTCTGTAGGCATGCTTTCTGTTCGATTTATTTAATTTTCTGATGTTTTAAAGTATCATACATGATATGCAAACATCGTGATTTTTTCTGCTTCTTGTCCTTTACTTCTTTTGAGTTATGGAATTCATCGTGACAGGGTTTGAGTTATCATTTATGCCATCTTTTCTCCTTGTCTGTATTCCATTAGTTATTTTTTGTGCAATTTTGTAGTGCGTAGTAAAGCTATTCTGACAGAAAATAGTATGTTTGTTGACTATTTCTACTGTCATGCTGAAATAGACTGGGGACCTGCGATTTGGAGGTGGTGAGCGTGTGCAGTACACTCGAGACCAACTGTTGCAACTTAGGGAGGTACTTGTCATAATTGATACTCCTTTTACTCTATTATTACATCCTTAAGTTTGGTATATTGATAGTTTGAGGGAAAATATGGTAGGAGTTCTTTCTTGGTTGTTTTTTAAGTTGTTGTAAGTGGGTGCTAGTTGCCAAGTTATTTTCTTAACATTCTTTAATGATGTCTGTTTCATGTGTTCACAATTTGTAGCGATTAACCTCTTTTGCTTTTCCTTGGCCTTCACCTTTTCTGTTAGGTTGGCGATGTTCCTGAGGATATATTACTAATTAAACAAGAAATTGAGGCTGAGTTTGCTGTTGGAGATCAAAGTTGGAGTCATGGAGATAGCATTGTAAGTTGATAACTTACCTCTTGACTTATGTAGTGTCGTACTACAAAAATGATCTGTTAGTGGTTATCAATATATTTTGCTTTCACTGGTTAGAGTTGGTTGGGCATATGTCTTTATCATTTAAATACATTATCCTGACATATTTTGTGTTCATAATTCTTATGAAGTTGTAACATTTTCTTTCTAAATTTAGCTGCAGCCTCAATCCCAAAATCGGTATTCTGAGCCAGACAATCGTGACTGGCGCGGCAGAACTGCACAGTCACCTGCCCCTGGAGAGGAGAGATCCTGGGAAACACTTCAAGATGGTAAGGAATTTCCTGGTAGAACTCATGAAGCAAATCTCCGTCAAGATCAACTGAACTCCCAGTTTTCTAGGGATCAAATTTCTTCCAATCAGGGGGTAACGTTTTCTCATTATATTATTATGAGATTATGTGTATATTCATTCGTTTGATATGATATTGTGTGTATCTTTTATTTTTCTTATTTTCTTATTTTTCTCTTTTATTTTTTTAGAGCTGCTTCTTAAGTTGTAGAATCTTAAGGAATGATTGACTTTTCATTTTGTTTGCTAGATTTAAAGAGATGATTGTTTAAAACATCAGGTTCTTGCTCTAATCACTAGGGCTGTTCACTGGTCAGATCGGTTCAGTTTTGCTGGCCATATGTCACCCAAACCAACAACTTTGGATTGAAGAAAATCTCAACTGATCTTGACTGAATGATGGTTCAAAACTGATCATTTCCGGTGATAAAAAACCAGTTGGGCTTCAGTTGGTCGAGTAACAAACCTCCATTCTCAACATCAACATAAAAGATCTCGACGTAGAGAAGTTTTTGGAGGAAGAAGATCAGAGGGGTTTTGGGGGAGAGAGGGAGAGGGAGAGGAAAAAGAGCTTTTAGGGAGAGACAAGACAGATCTGTTCTACCACCACCATCTCACAGCTACAGCGATGATCTCAGTGCCATCACCACGATCTTAATGCCACTGTAACGATCTACCATCGCCATGGTCTTGGCACCACAATCTCACAGCCACCATCTCACTGCCTCCAGTGGATTTGAGTGAGAGGATGATATACAGGGTGAGAGGACATTAGGGTGAAAGAGAGATGCAGAGAGGAGAGTTAATGTGAGGTGATAAGTCTTGGTCGATGTGTAAATAGATAGAAAGTGATTGATAAGTAAGAATGTGTGATACAACTGTCTTAAATGATAATGTGTGATCTCTCAAGCCAATGACAGCACGCCACATGGACAACTAACTCATATAACAAAATCCATTGGTCAATCGGGTTTATATGAGGGAAATAATTGGTTACTAGAAACCCAAACCGACACCTGAATCTTCTTTTTTGCACATTTGAAGTATGATCTTTTTATCTTAATGTAATGTGTGCTTGGTTTACATTTGGCATCATTGTAACATAGCATTGTATGTAAATCAGGTGGGGCCGGCTCTGATAAAGGCTGAAGTCCCATGGTCAGCACGGAGAGGGAATCTGTCTGACAAAGATCGTGTCTTAAAGACAGTGAAAGGGTAATTTATCAAGTCTGAATTCTTTGTTACTTGTTTCATGAAATTTGCATCACATGCTTTAGCAAAGAAACATTGTCATCTGCTTGCAAAAGCTATGCATGATCTTGAATGTGAAAAAAGCTTGTGGAACACTTCGCAAAATTGTAAAAAATGTAACTAAGGCTGTTTTTGTGTGGGAGATTTGGGGCCACTAAATATTTGTCAATCCCTAATTTTAAAGTCTTTTATTTGGGTAAGGGGTTCTGAAACGCTACTTGGAATTTTTGAGGAGGGATATGGGCCTCAAATAGATGGTTGAAATTCATTTGAAACAGGTTTTGAGGAATACCAGATGTATTAAATTCAGCTCTCTCCCTTTCTTTCTCTCTCTCATGTGCGGACAACTTGTAAGGAATTCCTTTACCTTTGTTATTTTCTGTAGAAATTTAATGTATAAAGAGAAATGATTGTATTATTGATTGTTGAATGTTGTTATTTTTTACAAATGGTGAGGGGCTCCTTATATAGGAGATATAGTGGAGTAGGTGGTAGTAGGTGGTAGTGGTAGGTGTGTAGTAGGTGGTGGTAGGTGTAGTAGGTGGAGTAGGTGATGGTAGGTTTTAACAGCCCCCCGCAAACTCAAGGGGGATAGGAACTAACCAACTTGAGTTTGGAGAGAGTAACAAAACAAGAAAATAATCTGAAAAATAAAAAATGGATAGGAGACACTGTATGGTCGTGTCAGACCGTTGTAGAAGACTGTATGGTTATGGCAGACCGATGTAGAAGACACTGGCTCGTGTTGGACCGATGTAGAAGACAGTTTATGGGGTCATGTCGGACCGGTGTAGAAGACAGTTTACGGAGTCTTGCTGGACCCTTGTAGAAACTAACCGGAATCAATGTCGGGACAGTTTACAGAGTCTTGTCAGACCCATAAAGGAGCTAACCGGAATCAATGTCGAGACAGTTTACAGAGTCTTGTCGGACCCATAAAAAAATCGCATCCTCAAAAGGTGCGCTCAATTTTTCAAAAGGCGTGCCATCAAAAGGCGTGCCATCAAAAGGCGTGCCATCAAAAGGCGTGCCATCAAAAGGCGTGCCATCAAAAGGCGTGCCATCAAAAGGCGTGCCATCAAAAGGCGTGCCATCAAAAGGCGTGCCATCAAAAGGCGTGCCCAATCCATAAAAAGACGTGCCATCAAAAGACGTGCCATCAAAAGGCGCGCCCACAAAAGACGTGCCATCAAAAGACGTGCCATCAAAAGACGTGCCATCAAAAGACGTGCCATCAAAAGACGTGCCATCAAAAGACGTGCCATCAAAAGACGTGCCATCAAAAGACGTGCCATCAAAAGACGTGCCATCAAAAGACGTGCCATCAAAAGACGTGCCATCAAAAGACGTGCCATCAAAAGACGTGCCATCAAAAGACGTGCCATCAAAAGACGTGCCATCAAAAGACGTGCCATCAAAAGACGTGCCATCAAAAGACGTGCCATCAAAAATAACTGGTGCGGTGGCCAGTGAACCTCAACCAAGCGCCTCTGGTTTTGCTCCGTTGAACTTTCCGATGCAGTCGGTGGAGCAAAAAATGGCGGTGCAAACTGATATTGAGGCCAATCAGTATACTTTGAAGTCATGTGTGGAGACCATGACGGTGGTCACAAACCAATCGCACCGGCTGCAGAGTAGGACAAATGAGGTGCAACAGTTAAACGCCCAACTGACTCTGCTCCAACGTATGTATAAGGATGCGCGAGCAGAGATAAGTGTGCTAAAGGCGGAAAATAAGGAGCTGAAGCGGAAGGCCACCGTGATGTTCCGATTTGGAGGTCCGCCATATGCTGGCAAAGAGAAGTGGTAACTTTAAAAGAAAATCATTTAAATGGAAAAGAAATTATTGGACAATGTTAAATTAAAGTGAGTGGTGCATGACACTGTTCTATGAAGGTAGACTCATATTCCAAAATCTGCTATTCAAAAAATATGGAAAAACAAGAGACCTATGAAACCTGATTTTTTTTTTTTTTTTTTTTTTTTTTTTTTTTTGGTGTAAAATTGTGATCGGGGTTGATCCCCTGAATAAATGAAAATCACAGTTGCCCAATTGAGGGGTGGGGGTCTTTCCGTTAGGTTATTATTATTTTTTGGCAACCAATTCCTTGATAATTAGCATAGAGTTGACTGGAAAAGATACCACTATGTAACTGATCTCAAGTAAAATTTTTGGAGTCGATAATGTCCTAACAATTACGTTTATGCTTCCATTTTTATTAGTCAAGATGATCGTGAATGGTAAAGTATCGATGCTCCCCCTTTCTCCTTGTTTTGTTTTTGTTTCAATAAGCATGGATGCAGGACTACTTATATTTGAAGTGGATTATAAAATTGTGAAGACTATTATTTTAAATGAACATGGATACAAAAAACCAAGTTGTATGAATTTTGTTTTAAATAACAGCTTTTGCAAACCTGGTGATTTGGAATTATAGAGTTTGATCCCTTCATTATGAAAATCTCTACATTTTAAAATCTCCATCCAAAGTCAAGGTGGTTTATTTGGAGTATTTTTTAAATGGATGCTGGACTTTTAACAATTGTTCTTGTTTTTGTGCAGTATATTGAACAAATTGACCCCAGAGAAGTTTGATGTTCTCAAGGGCCAGTTGATTGATTCTGGGATAACAACGCCTGATATTTTGAAGGTTATCTCACAGATTTTAAAAGATTCTATCTTCAAAGTTTGTGGTGTTAAGTAGTTGTTAATAAAATGGAGGACTCTATTTTCAAGTGCAGGATGTTATCTCATTGATATTCGAGAAGGCTGTGCTGGAACCAACATTTTGTCCTATGTATGCTCTTCTTTGCTTTGATCTCAATGAGAAGCTTCCGCCTTTTCCATCTGATGAACTTGGTGGGAAGGAGATTACATTTAAGCGAATCCTCTTGAATAATTGCCAGGAGGCATTTGAAGGTGCTGACAACCTAAGGGCAGAAATTAGGCAGATGACTGCACCTGAGCAAGAAATGGAACGTAGGGATAAAGAAAGAATGGTTAAATTGAGAACTCTCGGTAACATCCGCCTTATTGGGGAGCTTCTGAAACAAAAGATGGTTCCTGAAAAAATTGTCCACCACATTGTTCAGGTTAGATTTTTTTTGGCCATCATCATTACTTATGGTATCTTATGATTAGATTTCTGAAGAGTTCTAATGCACTGATTGTCTGATATAGGAGCTTTTAGGACTTGATCCCAAAGATTGCCCTGATGAGGAAAATGTGGAGGCAATATGTCGGTTCTTTAATACTATTGGTAAGCAGCTGGATGAGAGCCCAAAATCTCGGCGAGTCAATGATATCTACTTCAACAGGCTGAAGGAGCTGACAAAAAACACCCAACTTGCACCACGGATGAGGTTCATGGTCCGCGATGTTCTTGATCTGCGGGTCAACAACTGGGTTCCTAGACGTGAAGAGGTTTAGTTCACAGATCCCAATTTCTTTGTCATGTTTGTTTGTTTGTTTTTTTTTTTTTTTAGTGGTGGATTTGGGGTACTACATGGAATGCTATATTAGCCATCTTTTTTTCTAACCATCTTATATGATCTCTGTTTTGGCAGGTCAAAGCAAAGACTATCACTGAAATCCATTCAGAGGCAGAGAAGAACCTAGGGCTGCGTCCTGGAGCGACTGCAAACATGAGAAATAGTCATAACGCCGGGGCAGTTGGGCCTACAGGGCCTGGAGGCTTCCCCATTAACCGACCTGGCTCTGGGGGTATGATGCCTGGCATGCCTGGGCCCCACAAGATGCCGGGGATGCCAGGGATTGATAGTGACAACTGGGAGATTCCTAGAAATCGATCAATGCCAAGGGGTGATGGATTCAGTCGTACTCAGTCTACTGGACGCCTTCAGCCACCTTCGATTGGCAAACCAGCACTCTTCAATTCAAGATTGTTACCTCAGGGCAGTGGTGGTTTCATTACTGGTATGACCAGTGCTCTGTTGCAAGGAAATAGTGCACCACCAAGCCAGCCTTCCAGCTTTGCTTCAGTAGTTGAACCTATAACTCAAGCCCCTAAGCCTGTCACTCTGGCACCCTCGGCAAATCTTTCTCCTGAGAAGCCACTGGCTTCAGCTGCAAAATTGAATCATGCAGATCTTCAAAGAAAAACTGTTTCCCTTTTGGAGGAATATTTCAGCATTCAGCTTCTGGACGAAGCATTGCAGTGCGTGGAAGAACTGAAATCTCCATCATATCACCATGAGGTCGTTAAAGAAGCGATTGCTCTTGCATTGGAAAAGAGCCCTCCTTGTGTAGCACCAGTAATAAAGCTTCTGGGGTTCTTATTAAATAAAAAAGTTTTGACCACTAGAGATATTGGAACTGGGTGTCTTCTCTATGGCTCGAGTATGGATGATATTGGCATTGATTTGCCCAAAGCACCAAATGATTTTGGGGAGGTTATGGGAAAATTGGTATTGGCCGGGGGCTCAGACTTTAAGATGGTTGAGGAAGTTCTGAAGAAGGTGGAAGATGACAGGTTCCAAATAGCCATTTTTTATGCTGTTGTTAGGTGCATTAATTCTAGCCCTTCGGGGCAAGAAGTCTTGGCAATGCAAGGAACTGGTGTTGAGGCTTGTAAAAGTTTACTCTCTTGATTCGAACCAACTGTTTCCGAGTCATATTGGGGAGTTGTTTTTCAAGTGTTCTCATACAGTGGAATCCAGACAGTTGCCCTCATCACTTTTTCTCTACACTCGCCATATTTTCCCAAATTTTCATCAAGTTACAATTTGTGATCAGCTGACCTGATATCAACCCATGATCTGTTTTCTTTGAGTTTTTTTTTTTGGTAGTTTATTAAATGAAGTTCTAAAAAAAATGTCTTCAAGAGGTACAGGCTTTTACATGATCCAGTTGTTGCATTAAATTTTGAATTCAAATGTACCGTATAATATTGGATTTTGCTACTAGGCTAATATATGGTCCCAATTTTGATGATGTCTTACATTATTATGTCTTCTTGTTCTATTGATGGTCTACCATATCCTTCAGGGAAATCTAAAGGCAAAGGCACAACATGGTGTTGGGCCGCAGACCTTGGGACTTGCTGCTCTGTTTTGTCATGACTTGACCTTCAGAGTTGGACCAAGATAATGAAGAAGAAAGTGATGATGGGAATGTGAGAGAACCATAAAGATTGGCTTGTCTGCTGGTAACTTGATCATAGAAGTCATCTTATCGGTCGTGCACGAGGTAGGTTTGTCTGCTGTTAACTTTACTTAATCTCATGTTAATCATAGTAGTAGGTTTCCGTTGTTTGGATCACGTTACCTCACTCCACACTTACCTGTTCAGATTGCTTCACTGATTACTGAAGTGAATTTGATGTGGCTTGTAGAATTGAAAGATGACTTCCATGAAAATTGTATGGTTCAATATTTTGACGAGGATGTATCATATCTTGAAATTCTGTGTTTTGATCCGGCCGAGGGTGCTTTGATTATAGGAGGGTATGAATTTTGAGAATAAAGGATATTTGGCATGTTTGAGCGTGGTTTCTTGCCCAAAGTAGGATTGGTCATGCATTCAGCATCTAGTTTTTTAAATGTATTTTGCCTGATTAGTGAAAATTCACACTATTTGTGCGGAGGTAGTTGTGAATGATGTATTTTATTTTGTCACATGCATGGCCAATAGCTATTATGCCTTGGATGTGTAAATTCTAAAGAGAATATGAAAAGAGGTTTATATAAATGTTCCCTCAAATATACCATTCAAAATATTTATGCTAACATTTTTTTTCTTTCTACTTGCTTTTTATTCAATTCAACTTGTTCAACTTGATATGTAAGATTCTAAAGGTTTAGGTTTTTATCGGTTCAGGATTTTGTTATTCAACTGGTTCGGGAAGAAAATTAAATGACTGATTTTGAACTCAACCACTGCCAGATATCGACTGATTTTTAAACGGTCATTTAATTATAAAATTCTCTGCATAATATTTATATAGATGTGGAATCTATACCACAATATATAATTTGGTCTATGATAGCACCACGGGGTGCTCCCTCCTCATTTTCATGGGTTAGACTTTATGCTAGTGGGATCGTATTAAGATATTATTGTCCATTCATCGTATTAGGATATTATTGTCCATTCATCAGATCATTCATCAATCAATAAACTGTTAGGGTGTTAGCTGATCCTGATCTTACACCACTCAATAATTTCTATGTTCTCCCACCCCACTTGGTATGGTGTGCCTAATCATTTCATTACATTTAATCCTTTTTTTTTTTTAATTTCATTATATAAATTTAAGGGAAGAAAGAATTAAGAATAAATACAAACAAACCAGACTCTCCTTTTTGTAATTCATTGAAATAAGATAGGATGAAACAATTCTTCTTTAGGTTTTCTTATAGAATTATCATTTTTTTTAATAATTAATGAATAATGATTTTATAAGCAATATAATTTTTATTTTTTTAACTCAATCAAATGTAAAAATAAAATTTTTGATAAAATAATCATTTTATTCCGCTCAATTTTAATAACCAAAATTGTAAAACACACTAAAAGGGTACTAATCAATTGAAACACAATAAGGGAACTAACTATTCATTACGTTCCAAAATAATAATCACTTTGTTTGGTTCTGATTTTTAAAAAATAGTTTTTAGAAAATTTTATTTTTTTTATTTTTTGTATTTTAATGTTTTCAATGATTTTTTAAATATTTTAAGCAATATTTTTTTAATTTTTAGACACACCTAACATAAATATACTTAAAAAGTATAATATTTGTAAAAAAAAATTTAAAAAAACACACTAAATACCATAAAATACAAAAAAAAAAATGAAAATTCAATACATTTTTTTGTATTTTTATGTATTTATTAATTTTTTCACAAATATTTTAGTGAAAATTAGTCTAAGGTTCATTTCCAATTTTTAGTAATGAAAGATATTCATAATATTATTTTATGATGTCTAAAGTCCATCAACCCCACACCTATATATCACAGAGAAATTTGGTTATCTCAAATCAAACTTCATTTATCTCTCTCTCTACTATGATACTGTTTAAACCCTAGCTCTCATCGATCTTCTTCTTCTCTCTCTACAAAAATGGCAAACAACGGTCGACCGCTCGTTGAGATTGTGATTTTGAAAGGTATGATTTAATGTACTTCGAAAAAAGGGTCTAATCCACTCACTAATATGAATTCTTTTTATGATTTCATCAAGAAATAGTTGTACATTGATGTTAGCAAGACCCAATTATCTAGAAAAGTGGGGAGGTTAAAGAAGAGGTATGAGAACAATGCTAGCAAAAGTAAAATGGGCGAGGATTGGACTTTTCCGAAGGCTCATCAGCAAAAAGGGTATGAATTGTCAAAAAAGATATGGTTTGGTGGAGCTAATGCTGTAGGTGTTGATAGTGCAAAGGTTAACGAGAAAACAAGGAAGAATCAGAGTTAAAGAGCTATTACAGCTTCACCAAAGGTTGATAGTGGGAAGGAAGAAACAAAGATACAGGTTGAGCCAAGTGCAGGGGTGTCTCTCTAATTTAACTTGGTTTTCAATTTTTTCGTCTGTGAATTGTATGTTTTTCTACAACCTATGTTTAGCTCATATTCACTATAATTTATGCGATTGAATGGGGATTGGTTCTTGTTCTGTTTTGTTTATGTGAAATTTTCCTCTCAGATTTGGTCATATTGAATCTGAATTATGTTTGTTTATGTCTAAACTTTTGCTAAGTTTGTTTTCTTGTCAAATTGTTCTTCTTTACTCATTTGGGAATTGTTCATTCCAAGGCATATTTTGGGAAGTGATTTTATTTTAGAATTTCTCTGGATTTCTAGAATTTCTCTGGAGGAAGAAGATAAAGATAAAGACTTTAGGAATTTCTCTGGGAAGTTTAGAATTTCTCTGGAGAGAAATTTCTCTGGGCTTCTCAGAATTTCTCTAGACAAAGAAGATGATGAAGACTTTAGGAATTTCTTCAAGAAGTCCAGAATTTCTCTGGACAAAGAAGATGATGAAGGCTTAAGTTAGAAATTTCTCTGAAAAGTCTAGAATTTCTCTGGAGAGTGAATTTCTTTGGAGAGTGGGAAGTCCAAAGAAATTTTCAGAAATTTTCTGAATCGAATTTTCTTTAGATTGATGCTAAGGGATCTTAGACATTATGAAAATATTAGATATCGTTTATGCTATAAACTCTTAATACCAAAAACCTTTAAAAAAAAAATTCAATATTTTACTATTTAGATACATCTAAATAAGATGCATTTAAAAAAGTAAAAAAAATTACTTAAAATTTTAAAAACATTCACTAGAAACAAAAAAAATAGGAAAAACAAAAAACTGGGGTTGTTTGGGGTGTCCTAAATAAGTGCACTTTTTGTCTTTTTAAACTAAAAAGTTGAGGGAAAAAATATGGATGTTTGAGTTAACATTTTGATTTTTTATGAAAAAATGTGTATTAAAAAATTGTATAAATAAGTGTATAAGGAAAGTTATAGATGGAATAGCCCGTACAGTAGTACACGCATGGGCAGCGCGGTAGAGGATATAGTGTAGGAGATTGATTCTCTCCTTTTCGGGCATAAATTAGACGGTGCTGTTTGGCCCATGGGGGCCCACCACGGGTCCCGTTTTACTAATCGGAACCGTTCAATGTGTAGAACTTGTCGAGTACTATATATTTGTAAAAAATTACGTTGATTGGATATCAATAACTATCTGATCGTGTGAGTTTTTTTGTCAATTGTTAACTATAACACCATCCATTTTTTATACAAAACTGATTTGATCATGTAGTTACCGATTTTCGATCAACGTGATTTTTAATGACATATAGTTCTGGACGAGTTGTACATATTCAGTGGTTCGGATTATCAAAACGGGGCCCGTGGTGGGCCCCCACGGGCCCAATATTTCCATCAAACAAGTGATTTTATATATGTAATTTTTTTTTTCCCCTCACTACACAGGGTCAATTCAGCCCCGGAAATTGTGTAAATTTTGTTTGATTGAAATATTATGCATATTAATTTTTTAATATTTTTAATTTGTGAATAGTGATAACTTTTTTACTTTTTTTTTTTGTAACTTTTTTGACTTTTTTGATACACCCCAAACCAGGCCTTAATTTTCAAAAAACTAATTAACTCTTTTGGTAGTACAATTATTGCACTTTAAAAAAAATTGATTTTTCAAAATTATCCTTTTAATAGTACATTCTTTGAGAAATATCAATTGTCAAAATTATATTTTTTGTAAAGTTAATGAATTTAAAAGAAAGGCAAAATAAAAAATTTGTATTATTTTAGTCCTTAATTTTGAAAAGGGACTAATATTTTAGAATAATAAAAAATAAAATATAAGACTATTTTGGGATAAAGTGAGTATAATAATTAGAATGAAGACAATGATAGACCCACTAATCGCATGATTAGAGTGGGGGGCAAAACACATTGAATGTCCAACAAACTCATTTAATTCTATAAAATTATAAATCTGAAATATGGGTCACACTCAATTTCATATTTAGAATAAAACAAATCATTACCTGTTTTTTAAGAGTAATGTTAGAGATACCAAATTTTCTACCAAACAAATGACCAAATGTCTCACATGGGTATGGGGTCCGTAATTTTGTGGGCCCCACACCCATGTGAGACATTTGGTCATTTATTTGGTAGAAAATTTGGACCTCTAGCATTTTCCTTATGTTATATAAATCAAAAACAAAAATCCACAAATTACCGTACATGAACACTAACAAAATTTTCTTTTTTACATTTTTTTTTAATCTCCAATATTTACATTCTTACCCACAATTTATAGAGATTTGGCTGCAAGTCCCTAGCAATTGGGATAAAAAATAAATGATGCCTCAATTTGATTTTTATTTGTTGAAATGAGACTCATCACTTTCAAAATAATTTTTTGGAAGCTACTGAACTAGATGATGACTGGATGAATAAATCTGAATTCCAAAATTTTGGATAGAAAAAAAAAAAATGTCCCCAGACCATCTGAAATTTAGACAATTCTGCTCCCAAAATAAAATAAAATAAAATAAAATTTAGACAATGAAGGTTTTATGGCATCCTATGCCATGGAAGACTTGTACCATAGTTAGAACTCAACAATGCAATAGTCAGATATTGATTTCTGACAGGAGAGAGAGACTAATGAAAAACAAGTATGAATTGCTGCTGTTTTTGCTTTCTATATAGCCAGAAATTACTACAAGAAACAGAGGGAGCCTTGAAATGTCGCCAGAAATAAATAAAGAAAAAGGAAATGTAATTTGAAAATTTAACCATTAGGTTGACAAAGGTCACCACATAAATAGCCATTACAACAAAAAGCTCATATACAAAAATTGAAGCTCAACTCCGTCAATGGGTCAGCGTCACTTCAATCCCTCACCAAGTCCCTGCGGCATTCCCAGGCTCTGGGCAAGATTACTCATCCTTTCTTTCATGGCCTGTCAACATCAGAAAGTGTAATCTTCAGGGACAGACAGATGGACTCTAATAGAGAGGAAAGGGAAAAAGAGAGAAATTTCACAGTTCACAAGATGAGATGATTTTCACCTGAACACTCTTCTGGTGCGCATCCTTGTATGCTTCAGTGACCAAAAGGGAGAGTTTCTGCATGAGAGAAAAAATTCCTATTACATCTACACATTTCACGTTGAACATGGTAGGAACACATCATAGGCACACACGTCCTGCCTCTAGACGCTCCCGATAAATGAAGTGATTTTTCATGTTAAATTAGTTAGTTCTTTCATTATTATTCACTATGCTTGGTTATCATTTTTCAAAAACACTTTTCAGAAAATTCTACTTTCTTATTTTTCGTATTTTTTTGTTTTTACTGAATTTTTTTAATATTTTGAGCAATTTTTTTAATTTTTAGACATACCTAACATAAATATACCTAAAAAGCAAAAAAAAAAAAACCTTTTAAAAATTCACTAAATACCAAAAATACAAAAAAAAAAAAAAAAAAGAATTCAAAACATTTTTTTATATTTTTTTGTATTTTACAAATTTTTTACTTTTTAGATACATCTAAATAAGGTGCATCTAAAAAAGTAAAAAAAATGTTTAAAATTTTAAAAATATTCACTACAAACAAAAAAACACGAAAATCAAAAAACTCAGTTTTCAAAAAACTTAATTCAAAAAACTCAAAACCAAACACACTGATTATTATTTTTTATTTTTCAGTGTAATATTTATATTCATCAACAAATAAAATATATTTGACATATCTCCTCCCTCCCATGTTCATATCCTTATTTTTTAGAAATTGACATGTCACATGTCCGTGTCCACATTCTTGCTTCTTAAGTTAAAACTATTTCTCTATATGGATTTACTAGTCATACCCAGGAATTGTTGTTAAGTGGAGGGGTGCATCTAATTAGTATAGAGTTGTTGAACTCGGGACTCATAAACAATGAACTTAATATGTAATGAAGGCATTGCACCAATATAGTTGTGAAGAGGTGTGGATGTTCAAGTAATCTCTTTGAAAGTGTCATCATGAGCCATTATATATGAGATATAACTCTAGCCCTGCTAATGCGAAGCACAATAGTGAGGATTCGAGTAAGAATAGTTATCCACAATAAGCTATAATTTTTTTACCACATTTGATTTACTATGTGATTGTCACCATTGCATTAGTTGGTGGGTCCCACCACTCATATATGTTACAACGCAGTAGTGACAAATCACATGGTAACCCAAATATGGTAAGAAAATGTAACCTCTGGGTCTGAAGAAATTGACTTCAAAACCCCAATTGCTTCCTCAGAAGACATACCACCATTTGGCTTCCCACTTACTGCCATTAACCCACGTGAGCTTCTCATCACAAACCCACAAAGACCCACCATTTTTCTCCTATGTTTCTTCCAATTCACCATAGACCCATTGCACTTTGAGTGGTATTGTCTATTATTACCAGTTAGGGCAGTGTAATTGACATTACTACAGCAAATACTTGAGTTGCAAAGTACCAAAACAGCCATTGATGATATTATCAGAAAGAATTCAATTCGGGAAGAGCATAAATTAGAGGTATGTTGTGTTTTGCATGATGGGTATTCTTTGAATTGTCTATGAGAAAGGAAATTGCAGAGATATCAAGATAGGCGTTCACTTACCAAAGAAAATTGGATGATGGATTATCAGTTGAATGAGAACTTCGTTTGGCGTAGACAGAGTTGAGTTTTCGAATCTGTCACAGTGAGGAGTCGTGAGAGCGTTCGAAACTATCTCAACCATCATTCGTTCGGAACCATATCTTGTGTGCAGTCCAAATAATTTTTAAATGGACGATGCAATCTAAATAAAATATTTATATAAAATTATTTTAGAAATATTTCTATTTATAATTTTTTTTTTCTATTAAACTTTTTATTGGTGATAAGTCTATTTTTATAAAAGGACGAAACAAGTCTAAGAATTGATTTTTTTTTTTTTGGTGTGATAAGAACGTCATTAATGATTGTTTATATTTTTATTCCATTGTTGCCATAGTAATTAGAAGTAATAATAGTGGTGGTAATATAAACATATAAATAAATTAGATGGATAAATAAATTTTATAAGTAATGTAAACAAATAAAAAATGACGTGCGAAAATAAATGAGATATAATCAGATAAATAATATATACAAATATGACAAATAACAGAGATAGAGAGCGATAGACAGATAATGATTATTGATAATTTTCAATAAAAAAAAGTATTAATAAATATATACACAGGGGTTATTGAGAATTTCCAATAATAAAAAAATACAAATAAAAAAATTAAACAGAAACAAATAAAATAAAAACAAAAACAAAAACAGAAATCTAATTATCGACTACCAAAATTGACGGTGGTATTATCCTCCCCCAACTCTGAAGTTCATCCACCAAGCTCCCCTCTCTCTCTCTCTCTCTCTCTCTCTCTCTAGTTTGTCTTCATATCAATGGCGGCGTCTACCAGTGCCCTAGCTCCACAATTTTCTAACCGCCACGGACTAGTTGAACCCAGAAACCCTAATTCCTCTTCGTTTTCATTCTGTAAGCTTTCTCTCTTTCATCCATGATCTTTGTTTTTGTACATATGTTTATTATACAATCTTTTTTTTTGGTTAAGATTGCTATTTGTAATCTTCTTTTTCACACGCACACAAATAGTTTTGTTTGGGGTATTTTGATTTTAGGAATTAATTCCCACAGTTCTTATGTTTCTAGATATGTAAATAATATCAATCAATTTCGAAACTTTTTGCATCTGGAAATTGGGATTTGCAGATGAGGTCCTTTAATGGGTACATTACTACATTGTTGTTAAATATTATTGGAACTAAATTTGTTGGGTTTTATTTGGTAGAACCTTTATATGATTTGGGCTCCTTTACTATGTTTCTTTATAATGGATTTATTAGTGTAGTGGAATTGTATGTTGAGGTCTTTGTTTGTCTTGGTCTCTGGATGTAACAATGAGTTTCGTTTTTGAATGAATTTAGATGACACAGTTCTTGTTAGTATATTACTACGACTTAAAAAATAAAATAAAATAAAATTTGCCGTACCTCAGTAATCAGGTGTGTAACAAATTAGGCAGTGTTGGGTGTGAGGGTGGGTGTATAAAACCATTGTTGATCCCAGAGTAGAAATGCTTATTTGGAAGAGTTACGAATGAGGTACACTACATAAAGTCCCTTGAAAGCCCTCACATTGGTAAGGGCCAAAAGCAACCAACCAACCTAAGGTTTATTGCAATAGTAGTTTTATAGAAGGAATTTATACATTGTGGATTCTCTTTTAGCCAAATCATTGACCTTAGTTGCCTCATGTGTGCATGCGTGCAGATGCTGTGTGCCTTTGGGAGAGAGGGAGAGATGGAGATTGCAACTCACTTGTGAGATCCAAGATCTCATTCAAGAGATATGAGTATTTGAAGGGGTCATGTCGTTGTGTTGAGTTGTGATGTAAGATGAGAGCGGACCACACTCTCTTACAACCTTTCTTGCTGGTGTTTATATGCAGAAGATTAAGTTATTTTGACCAAAAGGCTGATTTTGAGAGTTTGTATGGGTGTAATTATGGGGCAAGTGGTTGGGGGTTCCAATGGACAAAGGAAGACAAAATTTTGGGGTACGATTCTAGGATTTTGAGTAGTATCCATGAATAACAGTAAGGTTGCCTTGGATGATTTTTATGTGGTATGGTTTGATGCAAAAGGAATTATAGTTTAGGCTTGTCAAGTAGGGCCTAGTGGTTACAGATTCTTGGTGGTGCCTTGGAGAAAAACAGTCCAGGGATGTCGCAGTATTATAGATTCTTCTATTGTTGTTAGATAGATAACAAATATCTCTCATGGCTGTCAAAATACTAGCATTTCATGTGCTAGTTCTGCCAGTTTTGGGTCTGTAGTTTTCTTAGAGTCATATGTCAACCAATGCAAAGCAGATTTCTTTGTTCAGAAAGGGGTTGAACTCTTGAGGAGCTATAAGTTGTTTTTTTTCATCTTTTTTAGCTTTGACTTCCTTAATATTTTATACCTACAAATTAATTATTCTTTTATTGTCCCATTTTTTCTAAGGTTTGGCAAGACTCAAGAGTGTTAAGCTCTTACACAAGCATTATGCAATTCAAACAGTATAAGATAATACTATTGCATGTTTTTAATATATGACGATATGAAATAACTTATATTCTGCTGTTGCTTTTTTAGGTAAATTGAATCCATATTCCAATCCAGTTGGTCCTCCTATTGCATCATGGCCTGGTAGTACGATTGGCAAGACCCGAAGATCTCTTCGTATACATGGTTTATTTGGAGGCAAAAAGGAAAATAATGACAATGGTGATGACGCGCCCTCAAAGGTTCTATAAATGATCTTTTAATTAAAATTTATGTATAGGTAAATATTTTGTGGGATATATAGGCCCACCTTGTTAATGCTGATGTAGCTGATGTAGCACAACCATCCTTTATTTTTACTCCTTTAAAAGAATCCGCCTTCTAGATGAATGCTTGATCAATGTACATGCAACTTTGCAAGCCAGCTAGGATAATCCCCAGGTTAATGTTCACTTGGGGTCTTAAGGTTTTGTGCTTGATATCAGTTACCTAATGTGACCTTTGTCTCAAGTATAGCAATTTTACAGCTTAACATATATAATGTGGTCCAAAAATATAATAATTTTAGTTCTGACTTAACTGGCTATGTTCTAAGTGCCTGAAATTGATATACAAAATTTCATTTCTGCAGTATTCTAAATACTGAAAATCTTTATTATTAGTAAGCATCTCAAAAGAACTTTTGTCGACTGTCAATTGAGAACAACTTGAAGGAACTTGATTCAGAACAACCTGAATTGCCTATTTACCATTGCTCCACGAGCATTGAATAATTTCTCCTATTTACCAACTGAATGAAAATCAAAATCAAGTTATACAGACAATTTAATCAATTAAAAATATATTAAGTTAACTACAATGGATACAGAAATAATCCCAACCTCAAACCTAATTTTTTCAATCCTTAATTTTTCAATCGAAACCCATGAGGCCATGAAACAAATATTACATTCAAACTGTAAATAGGCAAGAGACGAGATAAAATATAGAAAACAAAATTAAGAAAAGAACAAGTAAGACAGTAAGTAACCAACTAGGCAAAGAATCCATTATTATTAGATATAATGTATCAAATTCTACTAACAAATTTCACCC